TTAAATTTCAAATGTTTTTTTTTTTTTTTCCTTTATCGCATGGAATATTGTTATAATAGGGGCTTTAAAAAAATCTGTATCTGATAATTCCAACATCTGGATTATCTTGAGGTTGGCATCTTTGTCTTCCATGGAGAATTGGTTACATTTTGCTGGTTCTCCATATGCTGAAAAATTTTGGATTACATACTACATGTTGTGAATGTTATGTTATGACTCTGGGTTCTGTTATAATCCTCTGGAGAATGTTGATGTTTTTGTTTCTGCAGAAAATCAACCTGATTAGGTTCAGACTGCAAGTTCTGTCTCTTTCTGTGTGTGGTACTTTGAATCTTAGATCAGATCACATAGCCTCTGTTATGCTGGTTTGGGTTTGTCCCATATATATGTTGCTCAAGGTGAGCCTAAGAATTGTGTGATTTCATACCCAAAATTAGGAGATCCCTTCTCTCCAATTCTCTCCACTCTGGGATACTCACTCCTTTCCAGCCCCCAGGGAGCCCCTTTTTTGGTTCCTCTACCTGGAAAGATAGGATTTTTATGAGAGTTTTAGCCACTTGCCCCACTGTGCTGCTTTGTGATGGGGCCCACACTGGAGGCAAATCCATGAGATAGAAAATTCACCTCTGTGTAGTTACCAAGTTTTTCTCCCCTCCACAATCTACCTCCATTTATTTACTTTTCAAAATCTTTGGGTAATTACTGTACTTTTACATTTTGTACAGAGCTGTTAGTTGTACTCAGTGGAAGGAATAGCCTGTAGTGGCTTCTGCCACCATAGTGGAACTGCAACTCCTAAATTCTTTTTTTTTTTAAATTAATTATTATTATTTTACATTCTAAGATGTTGTTGCAGAGCAGTTAGGGGAAGGGGAAGAGGGGAAAGAGGAGGGGGATAGGGTGGGAAGAGGAGGAAGAGAGGGGCATGGTTGAGGACTGTGGCACCTCCCTCATTCCAGCAGGGGAGCCCAGGGGGCTTCCAGCAGCTGCTCAGTTGTGCCAGGGCTGGATGTGGACTTCAGGGAGGTATGGCTGATGCCCTTGGCCTCTCCCCACCCTGGGAGCCTGGGGCGTTTCTGGTGGTGGCTTGGTAGTCATTGCTGGGCTGGATTTGGACATGGGGGTGTGTGGCTGAGGCCCTTGGCCCCCCACCACACTGGCTCAGGAGCCTGGAGCACTTCAGCAGTGGCTTGGTGGTCGTCACAGGGCTGGATGCCGATGTTGGGGGCCATAGCTGAGGCCTTTGCCCTTCCCCCCACCCTGGCTTGGGAGCCTGGGGGGCTTCCAGTCCTTCTAGGTTTTATAGGTGTTCTGTGGTGGTATTAGACCTTTACTGGTTAACATCAGAACTTTGTCTCTCATTTGTGGGGTTTTTGTTTTTCTTTCAGTTCTATGTTGGATTATTCGCTATTCCCATCACTTAAACTCTGCACTGGAACTAATCTGTTGTCCTTTGGTTACTTCTAAAATGGGGGAACTTCCTGTGGCAACCAGCACTTGAGCCCTGTGGTTCAGCTAAATTGCTGCTTTGCTGCTGATTCCCTGGAGAAGGCTTTTTGTGCAGCTCAGGTTTTAATTGTTGGCATTGTAAGCATTTCTAGGTCTTGTGAGGTCTGATACACCTGGGTTGTGTGGAAACTCTGGAGTGGGCCCGAGTCTTTTCAGCAAACTGCACCCCCCACAATTTTACATTCCTGACCAGTCTCCACTGAGTGGTCCTGTGCTGACTTGAGGGCAGATCAGCTGTCCTTGCTGTGCCCCATTGTTCCCCTGGTGGGCCCATCTCCCCCGCCCCCAGCACTTCCCATGGGATAGGCCATGGGCCATGTGCTGGTCCCTTGTGTTGACTCACTGGCCTCTGAGTGGCTCCTTTTTTTAGTTGTCTGTGGCCCTTCACTCATATGTGGGTCCACAGGATCTCTGTTAGTGGTCTTGCTGGCCTGGGGGCCATCAAGGCCCTCTTTTCCCCTGCCGCCTCCAAGTAACTTCATATAAAGGGCACAGCTACAGCTTTTGCCAGCTCTTGCTCCGTGTGCTCACCAGGGCCAGCCTTGAAGTGGCCAGGGCTCTAAATGGTTGGAGCAGTCCTTTCTTTCTCTCATTGTGGCTTCTCCTGCCTTCATGAACTCCATGGGGTTATCCTTCTCTTCCCCTGAGCTCTAGCAGTCCCACCCTAAATTCTTTTTCAGAGTTTCTATATCTCTCCTAAAATTCATCATCTCTTCACCCATTATATACCTTTTCCACCTATAGATTAAAACAATTAACATAATTATTTCAAAGTCTTTGTAGGCTAGCTCCAAAATCTGAGTTTATTTTGGTCTGTTTCTATGTACTGAATTCTCTCAACTATGGTCAAGTTTTACAGTTTCTTAATATGTCTAGCAATTTCTTTTTTTTTTTTTTAAAAGGTGATCGGTAAGGGGATCTCAACCCTTGGCTTGGTGTTGTCAGCACCACGCTCAGCCAGTGAGCAAACCGGCCATCCCTATATGGGATCCGAACCCACGGCCTTGGTGTTATCAGCACCGCACTCTACCGAGTGAGCCACGGGCCGGCCCCGTCTAGCAATTTCTAATGGTACAGTGAACATTTTGGATGATATGTTACAGGAACTACATTTGAAAAGCTATGTAAATTGAATTTCACTTCTTTCAAGAGACAAATCTCTTCTAGTTTCTGCCTGATTTTTGATTGCTCTTCAGTGTCTTTAACAGTTTTTTTTTTTCGATATATTGTCCAGAGTTTATAATTGCTACAGTGGGTTTAGTACAATGCAAGCTACTACAAACTACTAGCAGAAACTGTTTTTAGTCTTTCTGGACTTAAGAAAGCTTCCTTCCCACCCTCCATCTCTCCTCGGAATTCTGCAAACACTGTCTGAACTTATTTTCTCTAAAAATCTCCCCAAGAGCCTGCTCATTACCCCCTTGCTCCCTCATCCACACAAGTGAAAACAGAGACACAGAGAAAAGCACAGCTTGGTCAAGGACCCACAATGATGCTCCTGTCCCAGCTGTAGATAAGTTCTATCTCCTCTATTATGTTATCTCTCTGCAACACACATCTGTTCAAATATTTATTATTTGGCCTACTATATGCTCTGGGTCCTGTCTTCAAAGAGCAGTAACATATTAATATAAAAACCCATAATACAAGCCAGAAAGTTCCAAATGTTGTGAGAAAGATAATCAAAAACTACTCTGGTAATTCAGAGAAGAAATTAATTCCAGGTAGGAAGATTAACAGAAGTTTTATGGAGGAGGTAGGGGTGCGGAGAGTGGACCTAACTGCTAATTCAAGCACAGACATTTCAAAAAGTTCATGGACGGATTAGCATTATCTTTCAATTCTATTTTTCCACAAACTTTCTGAATTACTCTCTTATTTGTCCTCCGATGCTTTAGCAGTACCATGGGAGTGGAGGTGGTGTTAGTTGTTAATATTATACAAAACCTACTTGAAGTGTGATTCAAAGACACATTTATTCCCGTTCTGAAGATAAGGAAACTATAGGTCAAGGAGGTTAAATAAGTAGCCCAAGATAATAGAGAAAGTGGCAGAACCTGAATTTAAACCCAAAGCCTGTTAACGTGCTTTTCATTATAGCACACTGCCTATCTCTGATCTGTAATTCAGGAGAATCAGGTACTATTTATAGTTCTGCCACTAACTAGTTCAGTGACCTTGGCTAATTCATCCTGTCTTTACAACTCAGCTCTTCATGTGTAAGCTGATGGAGGGTGAACTATTGAAAGTTCACAAATGAATGAATCATGTTTCTTCGAGGAAAATGGAACTGTGTGGCAGCCTTAAAATAGTGTTGGGAGCCTCTGTTGTGTGGCAGTATATGACTCAGAAAAACAGAAGGAGAGTAGCATAGTGTAGAGAAAAGAGAACAGAACCAGAAATGAGAAGATCTGGGTTCTAATTCTACTTCTGCCATTTATTAGTTGTGAGCCTCAGTTTTTTCATCCATAAAATGGAGATAAATTATCTATATTGGCTCTCTCTCAGTGTGTTTGACTGGTTCAAGTGAGGTTATGTATGAAAATAGTCTCACAAATATCATGAAGTGATATATTAATACAGCCATTTCTCTATTTGCCTTAGTTTTCATAACATGAGTTAGATATTTCTAAATTAATTAGTTAAGGTACATGATTTATAAACTGTTGGCTATGGTAGCAATTGGGAACTAGCTCTGGCAAAGCCTATCAGCTCTGTGCTTTTGTTTATCCTAACAATGGGGATAAAAGGTAATAAAAATATGTACAGGTTCTGTACCTGTAAGAGAGCTGGTAGTGTTAGAAAAACAAAGATCATGATTCTAGGGCAGGGAGTCTTTGTTCTAGAATTTTCTTTGATGATAGAAATGTTTTGTATCTGTGCTGTCCAGTACTTGAAATGTGGCTAGTACAACTGAGGAACTGAATTTTACATTTTACTTAATTTTAATTAATTTAAATTTAAATTACCTTTAAATATATGGATAGTAGCTATCATGTGGAAAAGCACAGTTCTAGAGCAAAAGTGAGAGATGGATTTGTTCAACAGTGTTAAGGTTTTATTGCTGTACTCTTAAGGTCAAAAGTAAATTGACTTCATTTTTTGCAATTCTGAAACTCTAGCCAGTAATGCCTTCCCCCCCCCCCAAATCAAACAAAATGTTTTTTATAGCATGATTTTTGATAATGGGAGGTTTCTCTGGAATCCCATTATCACTTTGTGGCAACACAGATGATACCAATAAAATGTGAAAGTTACATAAGCAAAAAATTATGTTTTGTTGCATAAGAGGGTACTTCAAAAAGTTCGTGGAAAATAAAATTAAAAGATAATAAGAATCTTCTTTCCATGAACTTCTTGAAGTACTTTTATATGTGTTTGCCCAAAAAGATAAAATTATTTTAGTCCCTTAAAATTAAAAATCAGAGACTGAAAAGTACTAGGCCCTATGAGTGGTCACTGACCCAGCTAATGGCCATATAGTCTCCTACCTTGCATTTTCTGCTCTCCGGCTTATGCATTGGTGCAAGTAGAGATACTCCTGAGGCGCACTGGTGGACAAGGTGGGCTGCATGTGGTTTGACACAGGGGGTTCAAATGTGAACAGAGTTGGTTGGCTGGAGTGCGATGGGGCTGAGGCTTTTCGTTCTCGAAGATGTGGATTGGAGCCACTGAGCTCAGCTGGAGAAGAGCGGGGGCCGTGACTGGCTGAGGAAATGTTTCTCAGGGAGTCTGTGAAAAGGAGAAAGAGCTTTGTGAGTGAAAAAGGAAGAAAAGGTGTCCTTATCCTAAACGGTGTTGTCAGAGGGAGAAAAAATATTAGGAGCAGAGCAATAATCCAGCAGTAGTATTCTCTCTCACACATACCTACTCCCTGTCTGCCCTCCCAGAGAGAAGAGCTGGAGCTCCTAGCTACCTTGGTTGAAATGGAGATACTTGATTTCTGGGCTGCTCCTGAAGCAGCCTGGAGGTCACTTCCTACCATGACCAGGGCCAATCAGGCTCCACTTCCAGGAGGTGTGGCTACTCCCTGGCCCTCAGGCAAAGTCAGCCTCTGGAGCAGCGAGTACCACTACCTCCCTCCTCTTTGCTGGCTCCTGATGTCATCTCCTCCCTCAAAGCTAAGGCTCGCTTTGTTAAATAAGACTCTGCTTACTGAAGACTCATTAATTGAGGCCCTAGATTTACTGCATAATGATAAAAACAAAAATGTATTTGGAGCTGTCTCTTAAGATGGGACCCCAGCTCCTCCTGCCTGCCCTTCTGTGTCCTCCGAGGACATCTATGTTCCACACTCCCCAGCGTTCTGTCTATTGGTCTTTTTCTCTCTTAACTCTTATCTCAAACTCTCCTCTGTTGTGTTAGAAAGGAAATGAGGTATTAAGGACAGATAATAGCTTAGAGTGCTACACCCCAAGCCAAGGGCATTATTCATTTGGCTGGCTCCCTAAGCTTAGTTCAAATTCCTTAGCATAACATACAAGGCCTTTCACAGTCTGACCTATTTCCTGCTTTTCTCCACCCATAAACAAGGCATATGGAAGCATCATCAGTCCCTGAACACACCAGCTTCTTTTATGATTCTTTGTTTTGGCTTATGCTAGTTTTTCTGCCTGGATTTCACTTCTACTCAGCTGGCAAACTCATATGCAGACTTTAAGACCCTACACGGATATCACATTCTCTCTGACACCTTCCTGGACTGGATTCTTCTTCTGGGTGCCAGTAGCACTTGGTCCAGGCTTCCATTATACCCACAGTCATTCGGCCTCCTTGCCTAGGCCATAGGTTTCTGAGAACAGTGACTGTGTTGTTGTTACTTTGATAGTCCCAGCACTTACCTAATAGAGGATAGGTACACTGAAGGTTCTTAGCCCACATTTGCAGAATAAGCAAAAACATTCATTTAGCATTCAAAAATTCCAACAGTGAAACTTCTTGTTCAAAAGAAATAAAGGTTTAAAGATGTAATTTCAGACGATGGTGGCTTTCTAGTGTTATTCAAATCATATCAGAGGGGACATAATTCTCTTTCTACTCTCTGTTAATCTGACCTATTTCAGGCTGTGCCCTTCTTATGGCCCTAGGCAGGGTTACCAGCTCATTTATGCTCCACAGCATTAATTACTCTCCAGTCATTTCTGATGCTGGGCAGGACAATTTATGCCAGTGTACAACAGAAAAAGCCAATGGGCCTCGGGGAAAAACTGTTCCATTGACAGCTGTATTGACCTCCAAAATGAATTCCCATTACAGGTCTCCTAGTGAACTGGACATTTGTTAACAGAATCAATGGCTTCATTACTCTATTAGATTTGGGAGATGATCTCTCTAACAGTGGAGGAGAGAGGTGTATGCTAGGGGATGGGGTAGCCACAGCACCAGAGAATGAACACAAGCTGCTGCCTGAGAAGACACAGGCAAGGTGCAAAAAGAAAGCCTCTGGAGAGATTCTCTATTCTCTATTGTCTTTTAGGACTCCTCTTCCTTTGCCTTCCTCTTCAATGAGGGAATGCTTCAGGATCCTGCCCTAGACCCTCCTGTAGCCTCACTATCACCTGGGAGACTCTCCTGGTATTCCTGTCCACTGCCACAGCTTCAGTTACCATCTATGTGATGACAACTCTCATATCTTAATTTCTGGTTCAGTTCTCTTTCCACGGCTCCCTGTCATATATCCCACCACCTGCTAGGCATCTCCACTCAAACATCCCACAGGCAGATCAAACTCAATGATCTAAATCAAACTCCCCTATCTCAGTGAAGTACATCAACATCACTGTACAATCAGTTCTCCAAGCCAGAAACTGGGCATTATCTACAACTCTTCCCTGTTACTCAACAACCACAATTGTTACCCAACAATCATGTCATTATGTCACTGCCCTACTTAAAACTCTTTAGTGGCTCCCTGTTATCCTTAAGATGATTTGCAAAGATCTTACTCTTTTTAAAACCATTTTCCTGTTTATTTCTTCAACCTTGTTTCTTACCAGTACTTCCTTGCATTTCAAAGGGAATTCCAGGAAAATTCCAACCTTTCTCTCACCACTCCATACTGGCTGTAAACTCAGTGAGAGCACAAATTCTGTCTCCTTTGTAATGGTTTTATTCTCAGCATCAAGCACAGTGTGTGACAACTAGATAAACGTGTTGATTAAACAAGGTACATAATGTAATAAGTCATTGCTCCCTCAGTATCATTTATTGACCCCTCATTGCCTTCAGAATAAAATCCAGGTTCCTCAGTCTGACAAGAAAGCCATTTTGTCACAATCTACTTACCCTGCCTTGATATCCAATGCATCCTTCACGTGCCCTGTGTTGAATGCTCGGGCTGTCAGTATGAATAAAAGAAAAGTGATCCATCCTTACCTCTGCAGCCCTCTGCCTTGAGCTCAGGCTGTGGAGTCATATCTGTGACCCAGTCTATTTACTTAGAGACTGGGGTAAGTCACTTCACTGCTCAGAGTCTCGGTTTCCTTATTTACAAATCAACATAGGGTAAATATAAGGATAACATACAGAGTCTAGAAAATCTTGCATCTGTAGAACATGCAAGACACTGCAGCCCACCCTAATCCAGTACGACCTCCTCTTAACTAATTATATCTGAAAAGGCCCTATTTTCAAATCAGGTCACATTCTGAGCTTCCAGGTGGACATGAGTATTGGAGGGACACTACTCAACCCAGTACGGGGACCAAGGAATAGTCACATAAATTCAGGCAGAGGGCCGGCCCAGTGGCGCACTCGGGAGAGTGTGGTGCTGATAAATTCAGGCAGAGATCTCTTAAAGGTGTAAGCAGAAGTGGGATTTTGACAAGTGCCAAAACAGCTTTGGAAGAACATTTCTAGACCTACTGACCATTAGATGGAGCTGGCTGGTTTCATAGACGTAGCTTTAATTTGTGCTGGTAGAACAGAATTCCAAGTTTCTGTTGCATGAGGGCCCAACTCATCCTAACCCCTACTTCACCTTATTAACAACTTTAAAACCTCTCTGATTGTGACTACAAGAGAAAAGCATATTTGGATTTTTGTGCCAGGGAAAATTCTCTTATTCAGTACGTTCACTTAACAAATATATATTGAATACCTACTAAGTGCTGGGACTGTTCTAGGCACCAGGGATGTAGAAGTGACTAGAACATGTTTTGCATGTTCTACAATGACTGGTGTCCTTAGAAAAGAAAACAGAGACAGACAAACAGGGAGAGTGCTATGTGATGACAGAGGGAGAGAGTTGAGTAAGGTGTCTACAAGCCAAGGATTGCCAAAGACTGCAAGTGGGAAGCCACCAGAAACTAGGAAAGAGGTAGAAGCAGACAGTCCCTTAGAGGACCCAGAAGGAACCAACATAGCCAATACCTTAATTTTGGAAATCTAGCCTCCAGAACTGTGAGAGAATACACTTTTGTTGTTTTAATCTACTCAATTTGGTTACTAGAAGTGGGAAGGCGGAGGGAGAGGGGGAGGGGGTCTGCAAGAAATTGGTTAAAGGACACAAAGAATGTTTTTCTCTGAAAACTGAACACTCAGTAAATATAAAGTCCTTACTAAAGTATATTGGAGTAAGATATTCTCCCTTTCTTACGTCCTGTTCCCTATACTTTCCTTTCCTCCTCCAACCCCTCTATTCAAGCCTTCACCCCCATAATTACAGCAAGGCAGTATGAATTTCAGTACAAGAACACATGGTTTAGAGTCAAAAGACCCAAATGGGTTGAAATCTGCCTCCCAGTGAATGAACTTCATGCACATGACATGAGTCAGGAGATCAGGCATCCAGTACCTGTTCTGCCATTAACTAGCTGTGAGATCAGGCACAGGTCTCTCTGAGCTTCAGTTCATACCTATCAAGTCGGAAGGGTAATCCCTGGCTGCCTATCCGCCTCACTGGGTTGCTGTAAGAGTTAAATGAGATAAAGGTGTGAAGGCAAATCTGTGCACACACATAAAACATTAATAGGATTTGATTTTATTACCTGGGTACCCCTGGAGGGAAGAAAAGAATGGTAAAAATAAAAGAAAACATTAAGTGACAACGTGTGGCTGGGCTGTTTTTGGTACTTGGCAGTAAGGCTGTCCTAATGGTGTGTCTCAGGTCATTAGGAAGGTCAGTTATATGGCAAGAAGAGAATGGAGGTTTCTAGACTCCTGGCCTGGGCTTCTATCTCTAAGTCTAGACTAGAAGTAATGCCCACAAATCCCTGAGTCAATTTGTTTTCTTTTAAACAGGGTTTTATTTTTTCCTCTTTTTCCTGGCTTCTTTTTAGGGCCCTACAAAATCACTCCCCTTCCTTTCCACAATCACCCCTGGGAAGGCTGCCCAGCATATAAACACTCCTCCCACCTTCTTCAAAACTGTACAACAGGAAAGCTCTGAAGGATTTCAGCAGAGGAGCCCAGCCCAGGCCAGCCCAGCCCAGGCCAGCCCAGCCATCAACTGACTAGTGATAACAGGAGCAGGAAAGGGGAGGTTGGTGGGAGTTTCTGGAAAAGATGACTGGCCAAATAATGACTAGTTCCCTTATCTCAATGCCCTTTTTATGTTTATCACTTTGCCCCCAAAATCCCCACCCTCAAACCTCAGTGGGTCTCAGAACCCATTAAGTGATAGACCAAAGGGCACGTTGGAGCCCACGCTGGATGCAAAGCCTGGCTCTGCTAACTCCTAGCTTTGCAGCCTTCGACATGTTAATAACCCTATTTAACTCTCACTTATTGGA